AAATTCATTAAACATAATATTCATTACAGTCAGAAAGTATTATGATTAATGAATTTGTTCGAAATAAATTAAATAATATAAATTAAAAATAAATAAAAACTAAAAAAATTGAGAACGCGTCCCCGGGGCATCGCCCGGGTTTGAGAGCTAGTAAATGTATGAAATGAAAAAACCCCCAGTTTAGTACTTGAATGTTATTGTCACATAATATATTTCCTTTCTATTATCTCAATATGCTTTTTCATCATTCTTTTACCTAAATAGAGCAACCAAGTACAATTTTTTCTAAGCATTATTTTGAACATTTCATAATCTAGCCGAGGATGTGTAAATTGATTCATTCAAATAACGAAATGAGATCGTATAAGTTGTGTATAACAAACAAATGGGGTTGACTTATGGATTGGTTTATGAATTGATTTATAGATTGATTTATTTGTATCGAAATGAAGTCTCGCGATTGAATTTACTCAGTTTGTAGTTGTGATATAGAAATGTTGTGATATATAAATTTACGAATTTAATTCTCTTTTTTTAAAAACATAGAAACAATTTAAATTGATATCAATTAGTATTTATTGCTACAATCCACAATTATTCAATATTATGTATCAGTACATAGTGTGACATATCTACGTAATTTTTTTAATCGAATAAGAGTTTTTATGCGAATATATATGAATAAGTTCAATTAATAGAATAAAGATTTTTCATTCGACTAACACATACCGTAGACCGGGTAAAATCGCCACCCAAAAAAGTTTTGAACGTTACGTGACAAGTATATCGAGCACCAAAAATCCATGTAACTTGAACAAAAAAATACAAACAAAAATTAATTTATTTCGAACAAATTCATTAAACATAATATTCATTACAGCCAGAAAGTATTATGATTATGGTTTTTCTAAATATTTGGAAGATTCCATTAGGGATGGCATGTGATTTAAATCACGATGATATAATTCACTGATTTTTATTTTAAATCAATTTAACGCAGATTTAAATCTTTTGTTATTACGCTTTGCTAAAAGATATAACCTTTGTAGAACACTATGTTACGTTGCATCGGAGATTCTGTGGATTTAAAAATCTCATTCAAAGTCAAAATTTGAATATAAATAATTGAATTACGTATTAAAGATCAAATGTTTTAAATCATTTGTAAATCATTTTTAATCATGATTTTTGCCATCCCTAGATTCCATTGCCTTTTAAAATGACTATAATCCTCTTCCAATTTATGTAATGGCTCAAAGTTTTTATTGATATTATCGAGCCATTTGTTACTATTTAGATTCATTATGTTTCTTCAATAATGTTTTTGTTGCGTCTCAGATTCAGATTTATAAAACTTTTTGGCTCAAATAAATAATCAGAGTTATAATCTTCCGGAAGGAACATTAAAAATAAAATCCACAAGGTTTTCTGGTGTAATTGCATTTTCTTAACTAGATTTTATAATTTATTTCGACTTACATTCTTTTTTCGATTATTATTCTGGAAATTTGGTTACGGCAATCAAGTATATTTTTAGAATATTGTGTTTATTGGATTTATACCTTTAAAAGAATCACTTGGTTTGTCGAGATTGTAATGATCGCTTTTCATTTTGAAGAATCGAAGAAAAATACATCACTCATTAAATCAATTAATATTTTATTAATACTAATATTATTATTATCATGATTAATTGACAATATTACATGATTTTGAAACTTATTTGGGTGGCGATTTTACCCCAGAGCACAAAATCTACTGTATAATACCGGAGATTAAGAAAAATTCCGGCATAGTTTTTGATATTCGGAAATTTTCCGTTTGTTCAAAATTTTAACACTTCCTTACATCATGACTGATTGTAACTACCTCCGGCTATAGATCCTAAATTCCGTTTAATAAAAAGATCGCCGGAAAAATATCAGGACACGTCATGCCACAATTTTGTTCCCTGTTTTACCCCGGTCCATATGGTATTCAGACTTGAAATATATCTAACCCTAGTCATAAAATACAGTACCTCAGTACAACAATAACTGTATTTAAGAAAAAGATTATGTAACTTTTTTTTTTTCAACGTTAACATTAAATAAATTTTAATCGGCTATTTATGAAGACTAATCAAACTGAATAACTGTAGGATTGTTTTATCTCTACATAATAATTTTTATGTGTGTTATTTTGAAATAGAGTTTATTACTGCTATAAATTGAGTTTTCCCCATAATATAAAGGCAAAACACTACATATATATATGTTGTGCCTCAGACTAACGCTTGCCTCAGATCACAGCTGACGCACCTCAGATGCAGATCGTCAAATGAGGTGCGTAACCTATCGGTCGGTCAATAAGCACTAAAAAAAAAATTATATGTATAAAAATCGAACGTACCGAAAACTTAGACGGGAAGAATATACCACGAAAATTTAGGAAAAAAAAACTATATGTATAGAGAGAAAAAAAGTACGTATTAATTGGAAATAGAATGTGCCGTGAAAATTCAGGCAAAGAAATTCAAAGAAAAGAACGAGACTTAATGTAAAAGAATGCTACTGTTGGTGGTAAAATACCAGAGATTCAAGAATGCTATTGGAGGTAAGACGACGCCAAAGTGATTCAAAAATATAGAATACTACTCGAGTTAAAAAAGACGCCAAAATGATTTAAAAAAAGCTACCAGCAAGAAAAACGCCGAAGAAATCCAAGAATACAAGAATTAAAAGAATAATTACAGCTGTTTTCATAAATTCTGGGGCATCTGACAAAAAATTGACCGACCGAATATTTGCCGATTCGATAAGTTTGTGATTTTTGCGATGGTCACTGCCGAATCAAAATTTATCGAATCGGCAAATATTCGGTCGGTCAATTTTTTGCCAGATGTCCCAGAATTTATGAAAACAGCTGTTAGTAAAAGGTCTTTAATTTACTCTAGATTGCAGCTTAAATGATAATCGATAGGTTACGCACCTCACCTGACGATGATCTGAGGTAACCTATGTATGAAACGTCGTACCGATCATGTCGAAATCAAAAACCATTCGGGTCAATTTTATCATGTGTTCCAGGAATTATGAAAATAGCTGTAACCTAGTATACTATCCCGTGCCGGAGGCACGGGTTACACGCTAGTACTATATAAGCTTATATAGACAAATTTACATACCGGGGAACTATGTCGACATATCGATATAGATTATCATCATTAATGACAGATTTTCACATAATCACATGATGTTGGTCCAACCTTCTCAAACATTAGCGTTAGAGATTCTGAAAATTAGCGTAAAAACTCCTTACTCTACCCAAGATCTTTCGATATGGAGCATAAACTTTCAAACATTGTTTACGACTCTCAGTCACATATTTGCGATCTGCTTACTGCACGGGAATTATATCCCCATCGTTCACAATACACAAAGGCTATCCATTCGGATCCATATACTGTAAAGAGGCTTAAATCTTTTGATAGTTTAAAAGGTCACGAAGGTTGTGTTAACACCGTTGTATGGAATAGCACTGGTAATCTCATATTATCTGGATCAGGTATACTCTATTTCTTAAAAGATATCTCTTCTACAATATTTCTTTTGTGTAAATCGGAAGTCTAATCATTTTCAGCATATAATTCATCTTTTTCGAGTTTATCAATTAAAATGTTATTTAAATCTTAATTACATTGGATAAGTCATATCATAAAGGTGTTGCTTATTGAAATTTTTTTTTCTTTCATCCAATTTAAATTCATAGATGATTGCCATCTCAATATATGGTCTCCATTTGATAAACCTGAAGCTCCTCTTATCCATTCAATCCCATCCGGCCATAATGCAAACATCTTTTCTGCTCGTTTCATGTCTCATACAGATGATCGTCATATAGTTTCTTGCTCTGCTGATGGAATAGTCTTGTTCACTGATTTAAGTGATTATTTGGCTAAATCTCCTTCTCACAGTTGGCATCCTTTACCTGCTTTTCGTTGTCATGATGGAATGGCGTAAGTATCATTATCGTATTTTCCATTTAAAATTATTTATATATTGCATTCTTTATTTGTGCGTTGACATTATGGCATTGCTATCAGAACCAACTGCAATACATCTTGAATTCAACTTGACATAGATTCGAAGTCATGCCTGATCCCGTTGATCCACATATATTTTTCTCTTGTGCCGACGACGGTCTCATCAACAGATACGATCTCCGCATCTCTACTTCGTGCTTTTGCAACCATTGCACGCGTCATTTATTTCTTGATTTGAACCCCGTGCGCCACCAATCTCGCAAATCTCAAAATAATTTTCAAGGTAGAAGGGGTACTCGTCAATCTACTGATACTGATGATCCTCGTTCTCATAGCGAACCTGAATCGGAACAATTTTCTGAACGAAGACGTCGTACTTTTGCTATCCGTTCTGCAAAAGATATGAGCGTTACCGCTATTTCAATTAGACCCGATAATCCTATTTATTTTGCCGCTGCTTGTGGTGATGATACTGTCCGTATATATGATCAACGTTTTGTTAGAACTCCTTCCGGTTCCGATACTCCTTATCATAGGGAAGGTCAAGTTTATCAATTTATTCCTACAGAAATGCGTCAAAAACAACAGGAAGATCAATATCATCGTCATAGAATGACTAGTATGAAATTTGATCCAAATGGTGGTGGTGATTTATGTATCAGTTATAGTGGTGAAAAAGTATATGTGATTAGGCCTGGTAGCAGTTTCAATGACAAAAAGGGCAAGTCTCGAAATGGAGGTTTTAGAATATCAAGAAAGCAAAAAAGAAATAAAGTTGATTTTGACCTTGTTGATGATAAGCCTAAAGATGTTGTTAATGATAATAATGGTATTGAGTTAAAAAACGTTGAAATGGATGTTGATAATTCTATACCTGAATCTAGTGATAATGATAGAAATGACTCTATTCGATCATCGTCAATACCTGAAGTTGATTCATACCATGAAGACCATTCCAGCACGTCGCGACATGTACATCTGCAAGATGTCGAGGAGGATGATGATGCTAACGATGATAACATCTATGATTCTGATGATAATTCTGACTATGATTTTGATGATAGTGATTGTGACGAAGCTCACAATGAGGATATTGTTAGAGTTTATAGTGGGCATCTTAATTCCAGAACTATGGTCTGTATCATCATTAATTATTTATTATTATCATGATTATTATTATCATTATTATTATCGTTGTTATTGTTCTTCATTAGTAATTTTTATAGTTATTTTCAATTATTTGTTTATAGATAAAAGAGGCCTATTTCTTTGGCGCCAATTCTGAATATATTATGTCTGGCTCAGATGACGGTCGAATATTTATATGGGATCGATATACTGGCAAAGTGGTTAATTTGTTGATGGGTGATACGGTAATTCAATTCACTTTATAATTCTTTTTGTTCTATTTTATTAAATTTGATTTCCTAATTAAAATTTTAATTTATAGAAAGTCGTTAATTGTGTTCAACCTCATCCTTTCTTTCCCATATTATGCACTTCTGGGATTGATGATGACGTAAAGATTTGGTTCCCTGAGTGTGATGAAAATGATATTTCTGATGCTGCTGACGTTATACAACGAAATGAGTTAGAAGCGAGTAGTGAAAGTGGTAGTCTTGGCAGTTGGGGTGGTCGAGTTTTGGTTATACCTGCCAGCCAGGTTATGGTTATGCAATTATTAGGTAAGATTTTCTCTTTATGTATCATAATTTATATCGATTCAGTTAATTTATATTCGGTTCTTATTAATTTAAAAGCGATGCTTAACGACTCCGAAGGGATGTTTGATTTGGAATGATTCAAAACATTTCTAACGCTGGCTTGATTTATCTTTATACTCTGAGTTGGTGTTACCTTTATACGCTGAATTGGCGTTGAATATTCAATTTATTTGCGCGTTTTTATTACCTCATGTATTTTTTGGTCAAGATTCTAGTATGCTTCTCATAAATATTTTCGTTTTCGAATTCAGCTCTTGTGCAACATATTTAACATGTACTAAACTTGTAAAATTTCTTTGCCATAATTTCTATTTAAATCCACATATTTTCTGTTGTATAAGTATGTATTATTGACTAACTCAAACAGTAATGACGGAATGAATAATAATATTAAGCCGAATATGGCCTTAAAGCTTATGTGCCTTTACATTGATATACAGAGCCAATAACGTTTTCATCTAAAAGTGTGCTTTGGATTTTATTATACCAACAAATTACATGTTTTTTGTATATATTTACTTATTTTTATATGAATGTGTCTAACAACCTGTAGTAAAATCACTATAATCTGATATATTGAAATTAAATCCAACGTTAGTAAACAATGATAAACAAACATCGGATTCTACAGTCGATCTTTGGGTAATTCACCTTACTCCGACAGGTACTTCAAAAGGATGTATTTTATATACTAATTAATCAAATCTATGTAAGGAGTCATAGTAAAAATTGATAGTACATAGTGATGCAAACGGCTAGAGCCGAGCCGTGAGCCGAACGGCTATGGGTCTACTAATAAGGTATCGGCTACAAAAATGGCTTGGCTAAGACCTTTGAAGCCGATCATCGGCTCGGCTATGGGTCTACTAATAAAGTATTAGCTCCTATTAGCCAATAGTAGATAATTTAGTATCTGTGTTCAACTTTATCATATGAGGGTGATCGGCTTATAAATGGCTCGGCTCTGGATGTAGAGCCAAAGGATCGGCTCAGCTTAGTAAATGTTAGCCATGAGCCGAGCCGAGCTGAGCTGTTCACATCATTATCTATGCATAAAATCTGTACTCTTAATGATGCAAATGGCTTGGCTCGGCTTGGCTCACGGCTAATGCTAACATTTACTAAGCTGAGCCGATTCTTTGGCTTTACATTCAGAGCCGAGCCGTTTATAAGCCGATCACCCTCAAGCCGAGCCATTTATAAGCCGATCTAAAGTTAAACACAGATACTAGATTATCTACTATTGGCTAATAGGAGCTAATACTTTATTAATAGACCCATAGCCGAGCCGATGATCAGCTTCAAAGGTCTTAACCAAGCCATTTTTGTAGCTGATACCTTATTAGTAGACCCATAGCCAAGCTGATGATCGGCTTGGCTTATAGCTTAGCTCTAGCTGTTTGCATCACTATGCATAAATTGGTAAAATTGATGTTTACTATTTTTTTATTTTATTTTATTTTTTTTTTAACCTTTGCAATGTTGCGTGAAGATGGATTTTTATTAGGTATTTTAGATAGAGAATACATTCTAGCCATACCTGCACCTTTTGAGCATCTAATTAAGTAGCTACCTATTACTAGGGTTTACACTAGATGCTGTACCTGTAACCCACTATTATTTGAATTATCCATTTAAAATCTCTGATATCCTCTGTCCTGTACCATCCACCTCAATTATGTCAGCACATAACCTCGTGCTGCTTCTTATTGAAGACTACCCAGATCAATATCTGCTATACTATTTGTGTCCTAATTCTATAGATAACCCAGTAGGGTTTTCATACTACTGGTTTGTCCTAGAGAGGGTGTAATACATACTTTTCTAATTTTTCTATGTCCTATGCACTTCTAGATTAGGCTACGAATACCTTCCGCAGCAGCCAAAATCACCACTAGTAGTCAAGGTGAACCATTAAATCGCATAATTCTAGTATTTGATGCCCTTGCAAGGTTCATTCAAATTCTGATACCCACATCAAACCAGTTAGTTCAGATGGGTCGTTGTACCTAGGTTTTAAGTACCTTCCGGTTTTACTTTCCTTGGTTCTTAATTTCATAGCATAGAATCTTTTTCTCTGGTGTGACTCTGGCAGCCAAATTGGTGGACTCTTTTTGCTCCAGGGTTTTCATCTGGTTCTTCAGTCTCTGGTTTCTGACTTTTCTGCAGTATTGTCAAAGATCTTCACTACCTCTTTACTCGGGTCTTGCCAAACAGGTTTCAATTATTCCAGTACCTTAGATTTGGATTGTCCAAGAGCTTCTATTTCGAGATGGTAGTACCAAGATTACAGGTAATATATCTAACCAATTGTTGAATAATTGTTACCAAAACACAGGCTTATTTTTCTAAAAACGTCTCTGGTAGGATTCAAACTCTAGACCTGCTGCTTGGAGATGACAACTTAACCACTCTAAGCCACCATACCCCTCGATGTTTACTATTAAAAACATTAGTAGATTAAAAATTGATTCATCTCACATATTAAGGTTACACAAATTTAATATACATATTGGTTTTTATAACAGATCTGGCTGGCTGGCTTTTTTTATTTAAAATACCCATTCGGTTAAGTTACACAAATTTAATTAATCAATTTTCATATCACAAACTGGTATACAGCTACACAAATTTTTTTTTAAAAAAAAAATTTTTTTTTAAACTAGTTATAAAACGCAGTAGAAAAGCTTTTTTTAATTTGTATCAGATTAATTAAACATATAATTTTATAATAAAGTTATATGGTTAAAGTAAAATTTAATTTTTATATATTGATACTATTTATATATTTCTTTTAATATATGAGTGTTGTCAAGAAAAAATCTGTAAATCTTATTAGATAAAATTTGTGAGTCTTCTCTTAGCAGTATTTATTTATACCTACTAATGGGGTGTAGTGACTTAGTGAAGTTGGTAAGTTGTCACCCCTCCAAATGGCAGGTCTAGAGTTCAAATCTCACTGGCGATAATTTTGAAAAAGACGATTTGTGTCGATAACATCTT